TAAATTAAAAAAAAGTAGATACAAACTTCTTAGTCTTTATCATAAGAAAATCTGTTCAAAATCTCCTTTATATAAGAAGAATCCTTCTAATAGAAAAATGCATGTAAAAATTTAGTGACATTCATTTTTCTTTTGATAAAAAAGAAGTAAACCTGTTAAGTCCTTTACTTTGAAATTCAAGTTTCTTGTTGTTTTATATTATATACGTTCTGCTCGAAAAATAGATCACTTAGAAAATTCCTAAAAAAAAAAAAAAAATACTATACTTTTTCCTTGGCCGCGCGTATTATTTGGATCTCCTCTTTTCTAGCTACGTGACACACATGTATCGGCCTGTTGTGCAAGCCAGCCAATAGAAGAACCGCAGCTGTCGTTTGACTCTCGGCGTGAACGCAAAGAGGATATTTCTTTGGCCAGCTTTGAAAATGCTGAAATTATCGATATATGTTGAGCAATCCGGAAAAAAACCGTATCTGTAAATCTTATCTGAAGGGCACACGTAGTATTATTTTCCATACAGTGCCGATTCAAGGACCACTGACATACTTACTTTAATCCACACGGTCAGATCGGTTAATCGAAGCGTTGTAAATGTCTCGTTCAGATACATTTTGAGACCTGCTGCCAATGGAGCTAACTCGGGCGTTATGTTATAATTATCCGACGAGGCACCAACGTAAATTGCATAATCGCATCTGGCATTCAAAACAGCACGCTGTAAGATAAAAAAAAGAAAGAGAATGCAGAGGATTCCCTTGGTATTACATTTACGAAATTTTTTAAAAGGTTTTAGCTACAATTCGATAAAGAGGAATAGAAAATTCTAATGAGATAAAAGGTAATTAAAATGAAACTTAGGTTTTTTTTGGCTACTAAGTGAGATAAAATTTAGGAATTTTTTCCAGAAGAAATTCAGCTAGAAATAATTGATAAATAATTAAAATGAAAGATTCTAATTTTTCCAATTTTCTCTTTCGATTCTTTTAAAAAAAGAATGTTATAAAATGGCAGAGTTATTCGCTATACCATATCCAAAATCTCTTCTGCTAAAATATAGTAGTATAATTCGAATACTTATCACATGAATTCGAAACGAAGTTTTAATTTGAACCAAATGTATATCATTGGATTTCTGGAAAATTTCAAAGCAACAATTCCGAAAATTACAAAAGTAATTTCAAGGAAAAGAGAACTGTTTAGAGATTAATCTCGAGATATCGACATATCAAAAAGTTCTGTAAATAACTGAAGGATGAGAAAACTCAGATAGTTGAGAAATTTATTTAAAAAAATTGTAAATCGATCATTTTGTTCAATTTGACGATTCTAGTATTAATAATAGGAAATAATATTCAATAATAAGAAAATAAAATCCAGCTGCATGATATTACGTCTGCGCAACACAATACTGGGCTTTGAAGAAATTGACACAAATGGACGCTGATTTCTTACTTCTTTGGCCAAGGCGAAAGATTGATGATCGACGACTGCAGGATTTGTGTTGGGCATCGCGAAAGTAATCGTGATACCGCCAGCAAGAGCAGCAGCGGTACAAGAGGCGAAATCTTCTTTGTAGATGCTGCCAGGATCACGCGTGTGTACGTGAATATCGATCAAACCAGGAAGCTTGATCATCGTTCGCGATGACATACAGTCCGTGTGAGTTTTCATGCGAGGTGCACGTCTGCCGAGCATTCTCATAGCCTGCGTAAGAGAAGCAACATTCGTCATTACATCAGTTCTCGATAATCGGCCGTTTCGCTGTTCTGTTGTTGCAAAAATCTGTGTTAATCGAATTGCGAATTATTTTTAGAGTTTATTCTAGTTTGTTTAATATTTTATGTTCTACCTAATAAAAATGGCTAATGACTAAGTTTCATATAGAATGAAATTTAAAAAAATAAAACTTTAAAATAAAATTTTAAAAAAATATATGTATAAATAGTACAAAAAATATACAAAGAAAAATACAAATATACAAAAAGAATATTTATGTGTGTAGAAATAAAATACAAGAATGTTTTATTCCTGCGTTGTTTTTAAATGAAATTGGAAAATACAGTTTTATAGTTAAAATACTATTATAATGCGAATTGACAGAAATATAGTCTTACAATTAATGCTATGATAAGGAAAAAAGATTGATGCTCCCTATTCGCTACATCTCTACTTGCTCGCGATTCACAACTCTCTGCCGAATTCCTTTTCGATCTGCTTCCTTAAAGCCTTCGTCAGTTTCACTTATTCATTCATACTTTGACATAAACATTCGTACTTTTGATGATTTTGAGTTTTAGTCCTGGACGACTAAAACAAATCCCAGGCCTAGCTTTCGCTCCAGACTATTGTGTCTCTTGGACACTGGAAGCCCTATCCCAGAATTCCCAGTGCCACATATATAATGAAAAGGAACATTTTCCATTTGATCAGAGAGGTTAAATATTAGAGATTAAACATCAGAAATTACTATTTGAGAACAAGGAGCTTTTTAAAGTAGTTTTCGAATTTTCGATAATTACAAACATCGATTTTGATATTAGCTTAAATTAATTTTATCATTGTGATGTTCCATCAGATGTTTTACAAATATAAAACATGTAATAGGTATAAAAGGCATAATAAAGAATAAAATCGTTGCAAATCGAAATCTTTAGCGAAAAATTTTAAGATCCAATTACATCGACTTGAATCAAGATAAAGATAAGTAAATGTGCAAATATATTTATATAATTGCAGATAAGAAAGTGATTCGCGAAAATTTTTGAAAGTTTAGAGAAACTTTTTACAAACACGTACATTTAGGAACGATTTAATGTGTAATATTATACGAAAATTTTTGAAATTTCACTAGCACAAAATTTATTATGCATTTATTATATAGATAATTTCAAACTATGAAATTAATTACACAAAATAATATGATGATATATAAATACATAAAATATTCAAAATATAATACTTTTCAAATTACATTTTGAAAAATATGAATTTGCATAAAGTCTAGTTATAATTATACAGGCAAAGTAAATCCCTATTTAAATCCTATTTCTTTGCTTGTATGATATTCATCCAATTATAAGAGAACATTGTACTCACCTCGACGAGTAATTTCGCGCATTTGACATCCGTAATTAGGGGAACAGAGTAATCAACAGCAAGCCTTCTCGTCCTGTATCCATGTGTCATGAAGTTGGAGACACGACGCACCCCGCCGTTTCTCATCGGTAGATTAATAACGAGATCGAACTGCTTCTTCGAAAGGAAGTCAGCCAAATGTCGAAGTTCACTCGGGCTGGAATCTTCATTGACAGTGATATTCTCAAAGGTCCACTGCACAGGTTCCACCTGCAATTAAGGTATTATTATCATTAGTTCATTCGTTCAATCGAATATCTTTCATTCGCTCTCTCGTTTATTTTAAATCCCAAATCTACATATATTTAAAAACAGATCAATTGTACTTGGCACAGTGTGTAAATTTTCACAAATTCAAGATCATTAAAATTTTATATAGTTTTATAAAAATATTTCTTAAATACATAAAAAAAAATGAAATTTTCTCTCTATTAGAACTAAGAGAATGAAATTGAATATTTTTCTCAATAACGTTCTTTTACATATATATTTTTATATATATATTTTCTATATTATTTGTATGAATTTTAATTTTTTCGGATTGAAAAGTTGATTTGTCTTAGACAAATGTTAAAATATCTCGTCTCACTTCGTTCTATTTTGCTTTTATTTTGCTGCGACAAAGATTACGAATAAAATTAAATAAAATTACGAATATTAAAATGAAGCTAATTTATATTTAAACTATCATGGTTCTCAATATGATCCAACGATCACAGTTAAATTTATATCTCTTCATTTGAATCTACTACAATATATTTTAACAATCATTTTAAGAAGCTTCAGTAAATCTATCGAAATGATAAACGAGCATTATTTCACAGTCGGAAATATGATATTCATGAAGAATTTGGAGAACGTATGTGCTAAAAATTTACAAATATTTTCGATATGATACATCAGAATTCACTTGCGATTGGCACTTTGTTCGACCTTAAGATTAGATAAATCAACTTTCTTTCTAGCATAATTCTTATCAGCTATGTCGATCTATAATAAAACCTGCTTATTTTTACACTATTGCAATCCTTTGCTAATAAAGTTTCACGATCTCTGCGGAAAGTGCCTCGCATTTCGAAATAATTGATCATTTGACCATCGAAAATATTCGAAGATTTATTACGATAAAAATACATACAAGTAACATTTACTACAATATAATATATTTGAAAAGAGCTTGTATGTATGTATTTCGTGTGTTACACAAAACATTTTGAAATTCCATTGCAACACTGCGATGAGATACGACTATGAGATACAATGTGATACGACTATGAGATACAACTTCTTAAAACATTATAAATTATTCCTGTTTGATAAACTGATTGTGAAAATAAAATCGAAATATAGAAAAATATTGAGGGTTAGAGTGTACGAAAACATTTATTTCAAATGATGCTCCAAACTTTGAGTGATAGAAACAAAATGAATCTGTGTAACAGCTACATCTGGTATTTTATATTATATTTATATTAATGCCTTATATGATATAGTTAATTAATAATATTTTACATTATAAAGCACACACGATGCTACCCTGTGATACAACAAATTTATACTGAAATGACTAGAAAATAAAAATACTAAAGAACAATCAACACGTATTAAATGATGTAAATTATACTAAGTATATTAAACATTACAAGATACGCGTAAAGATAAAACAAACTTGTAGTAAAGTAATTAAAAAATGAAATCATCGAGAAATATTCAAGATCGTCACGTGTATTAAAGATTTCCATATGCTCACTATCTATCATTTCCCCGTTTTTCAAGAGACCTTAAACATTTCAAGTTCCTCCTATTTTTCTAGACTATTACGGCACAGTGATTAAATATTTTCAATTGATCGAGGTGAAACGAAGATGGTAGGAAAAGAACTGATAAACCTTCCACATCGGATTTCCTCAGCTTCAAAACACTTTAGATAATACCTTATATCTACTGAAATAGAATCCGAACCATTTAAGATCACGAAACGCGTGCACTTATTTCTTTCATATTCTCCTCTCTGATTAATTCTCAATTCTTAGAGAGAGAGAGAGAGAGAGAGAGAGAGAGAGAAAAAGATGATTCTCCTATCGTACCACGCGCTACGAGCCAGCTTATTTGTCGATAGCCGATAGCGAGCACCGATTAAACTGTTCAGTTGCCTATTGCTTGATAACGATAGGTAAGTATTTATCGGCAGTGGTACTTCCCTTTGGATTATTGTCTCGTCGACGAGTGAATACGTGCTCTTTGCGCATTTACACGCGCGTCATGATCGCGGACGTTAATTCAGCGTGCGACCGTCAGGATCAACGAATGAAAATTTGTCACAGGACCAGGAGTTTACTGAAAGTCAACTTTTTAGAAAGTGACCGGTCTCTGTGAGATCGATAAAAAAAAGAAAAAAAAAAAAAAA